TTATGATTTGATATCAATTAGATGTTATGAATTTGGCAAGTGGTTCTAAATTTTATAATGAAATTAAAAGAAAATTGAAAATTTAAACATTAATTTAAACTCAGAATTACCAAGAAAGAATTAGTTATAAATACTAAACTTCCATTACGAGGGTATATTATTTGGGGAATGATGCCAATGGAAAACCATGCTATCTGAGAAATAATCAAATTCACAAAAGGCCATCGATATAAGAGTGTCTTCCAGTTTCTACTGCTCTAAGAAACACCATTACCATGCTACCTCTTATAAAGGAAAACATTTAATTGGGGTTGGCTTACAGTTCAGAGATTTAGTCCATTATCATCATGGTGGGATATGACAGTGTGCAGGTAGACATGGTGCTGGAAAGAACGTTGAGAGTTCCACTCAATATGCGGTTAGTAGAAGCAACTATGTCTCACCAAGTGTAGTTTGAACAAAAGTCAGGTGCCCTAGAACTGTAATTACAGACAATTTTGAGTCACTGTGTGGTTGCCTTGAATCAAACCTGGATACTCAGTGAGGTCAGCTGGTTCTGTTCAGCACAAACCATCTCTTCAACTCTTTAATTTGATTTTGAAAAAGTGCCTCCCTTTCTAATCGAGGATTATCTCCAACTACTGGTTTTCTGTCCTTTTCTCAGGAATGTTTGTATCACACAGGTTTCTGTACCAGGAGGATGCTATTCTTTCATTTGTTTCTCTTATTTTTGTTGTTGTTTTAGATTCGCTGTATGTATATTCCCATGGAGAACAGAATAAGGCATCAGGTCCCTACAGAATTGGCATTGCATGTGTTTGTGAGTTGATTGATTGGAGGCTAAGAATTGAACACAGGTCATCTTCAATGGCATGTACTCTTAATGAATGTGCCATCTTTCCAAACCCATAGAAACTTCCAATTTTTTTTTACAAACATTACTCAAACAGTTGTGTATACATCTGTAAACAAAAAACGCAACTTCAATATATGTAAGCTAATTTCAAATAGTTGATAGATTTATTCTGAAGCTAGAGTCTAGAATATGGAGACTCCTTGAGATGAATATAAAAAAACTGAAATCTCTATTCAAAATAATTTCTAAGACCTAAGTTATGTTTTATACCAAAATGAAACAAAAAAGTATGAATATACTTTAACAGATTCAGAATATGTATTCACTATTTCTAAGAAAATGAAAACAAAGGGTTACAGTGTTTGACTGAAATTTATATCATAGAGGACTCCCATCATGATTATAATTTCTTCCATACTCAAGAAGAAACCATTATATCTGCTGTTAGGTATGAGTCATCAACTTTCCATCAGTGCAAGCAACTGATAGTCTCCTGTTTTGTAGACTGGACTTTTCATTAACTGTTTTACTTAGCAGAAGATTTTTAACCTCCTGTGATACATTCGCAATGTTTAGTTTTATTTCCCAGCAACTGTAACACTTTAGAAAGTTCTCGCCTGTATTCAGCCTTAATGTAGAAGGAAAGTGTAATGTTAGGTAGAAGGTGGAGGCAGCTGGAGATCATCATATTAAATAAAATATATCAGAGTAGGAAAGAAAAAATTTCTTATTCTCACTTTTTGTATTTTATATATCACTTTCAATTTCATGTCATATGCAATATATTAATATATTAAAAATAAATTATAAATTAATATACTATGTAAATTTTACATATAACATGCTACTGGAAGTTATATGTTATATGTTTACCCATATGTTCCTGGGTAAAAGTTGGAAATATTTAAAGGGGAATGATGAGGAAATTGGAAGGTAGGAGAAAATGTGTTCTAAGTACATGATTTTCATGCATGAAAACATGCTTATGAACCCAAACACATGTAGAAATAATATATACCAACACAAATTCCATAATTAAAATCACTGTGATTAAGAGATGGAGAGATGGCTTAGTGGTTAGGAGTCATGGCTGCTCTTCCAGTGGAACTAAGATTAGTATCCAGCACTCACATGGTGGCTAGCAACTGTCTATAACTCCAGTTCTCGAGGATCCAACATCTTCCTCAGGCTTCTATGGGCATAGCATAAACATGATAGCAGGAAAACACCCTCACACAGAAAATGCAAATTATTTTAAAAGCCTAATGAAACCAATATTATTGCATAAAATTTTTATAATGCTAAAGGACTTGAAAAGAAACTTCAGTAGAAAGGAAAAGCAAGCCAAAAACAACGGTATCATATTAGCATATAAAAAGATGTTCATCTTAGAAAAAATACATTTATTCTCTCTGTTCCTTTCATAATAACATCCATGAATGGCAATGCTAAGTCATACTGAGATCTGAAATATCAAGTACAGTGCTTTGAAAGCTATAAGAACATGGGTAACTACTTTGGAATTAAATTAAAAATATACCTACTTTAGAGCCACACAATAATATCCCAGGAACTTAATAATGTAAAATGAAAATTTACATCTACAAACATGTCTCTGTACACCAAGCTATAGAGTGACATTTATGTAGTCATCAAAAACTAGGACCAAGTAACACTCATCTGTGATGAGAAGGCACAAGGTCTAAAGACTCCATATACATGTCCATAATGAAATCGCATAAACTAATGGACGGCATAAGAGGAACTTAGATGTACTTTCAATAAGAAAGCTGCAATGTTACAAAAGTGCCCTTTTGTATATTATACATTTGAAAAGGGAAGACTGTGACTAGGGAAATAACTTTGTAAAATTTGATTCCAAAAATCCAGATAAAAACCACGTTCAGCAGTTCATGTATATAAACCTAGCAGTGTATGTGTGTGGGGGTGAGAGAACAGATAGCCAGTATAGCTATTTTGTGAGAATCAAGTTGAGGGAAAGACCTTGCTTTAAAAAAAAATGAATGTGCAGAGAGATAGCAGCAGACACCTACATTTAACATACCTCTGGCATATACCACTCACTAAATTAAAGTAAAGAAAGGAAGGAAGGAAAGAATGAGCAAATAAATGAAGGAAGGAAGGAATAAAGAAAGGAATGAAGGAAGGGAAGAAGGGAAGAAAGAAAGAAGAAAAGAAAAAAGGAAGGTAAAAAAGCTACTAAGAACTGATCAGCTGTAGAGTTGTAGACAGGCCAGAATAAGGTATTGAAATTGTTACTAACTAGTTTTTTTTATTTATTATATGTTTGTGCATGTGAGAGAGATGGGGAGATAATCATTTTAAATATTAATCTTGGTATTGCTACAGAGCAATATTCATTTACCAAACACAAAGAACTTATTCTGAAATAAAAACTTTAATTAAAGTTCTTTAGAACAACTGATTTTCAAATACAGGTATACCTCCACTTTTTGCTAATATCTACTTCGCTTTTGAAAAGCATACATTTCATAAAACAAATATATTATTACTGTTACTCAAGCTAAAAACTGTTAGCCACAAATGGACACGTATATCTAATGGTCTATTCCCAAGACCCTGGTGTGACTGTTTGTAAAAGCCACAGACACAGCAGAAGAGTTGCACACATGCACTCCCAGGAACTGTGACAGCATGCACAAGAACTGCAGAAGCTCAAGTCAAACCAATGGAAACGAGAGCTTACCAATGGAAAGAAGAGCTTACAGAAAGCCTCACCCCTATCTGGGGTTTATTGACAACTGATAGCTGATGGGAAAGGTAGAATTAGCTTTCATTAAGACTAGTGGTGGCACATGCCTTTAATCCCAGCACTCAGGAGGCAGAGGCACGCGGATCTCTCTAAGTTCGAGACCAGCCTGGTCTACAAAAGCTAGTTCCAGGACAGGCTCCAAAAAAAGCTACAGAGTAAACCCTGTCTCGGAAAACAAAACAAAAAAAGACTAGAATCCTTGTAGGTCAACCATGCTCCAGGATATTTTCTCCCTCCCCCAAATGATGACTTTCTAGGGAGATGGAGGTGGATCATAGACGAATTGCAAAGAGGGACTGAAGATGATAAAAATATATTGTGTAAGAAATTACTAAAGAATGAATAAAGTACTTCCTAAAGAAAACATAAGTATTATATCAATTGTGTTCATATACTTCCTCTGAGTAACTGTTTCATATTGCATTTTTTAAATCCTGGAGCATTTTGTCATTATATTTATGATAAATATTATTTGTCTAGTGTGCTAGGGAGAGAACCAATGACATTAGTCTTGCTAGATCAGCACTGCACTGCTGAATTACTACAGCAATCTAATTGTTTTTATAAAGACACTCGAGGCACATGCTTGTACATCAATTTAAAATACTTTATTTGCTCCTGTGTGAAAAAATGATGGGTGTAGCAACATTCATCTAAAATGTGCTTTGCTTATTTTTACTGGCGTGAAGACTTACTATATTTTTTTCTTTGTATTCAGTTCAGTTATTGGAAATATACATGATGGGTATTTACTATTTTTTCATAGGAAGCTTAATTTTCTTTCTGCTGTTCAAACTGAAAAAGATGGAACAACAGCAGCAAGTTGGAGACGTTTTAGAGTTCATTTAGGGAACAAGGACAATATTGCAACTGTTTTGAAGAGAAACTTGTGAGCATGCTTTTATGACATTGCAATCACCTGAATAACAATTACCATCTTAAAGGAAGGAACATGATACCTCAATAATTGCTCCACAATTCAGTTATTAGTGACAAGATAACGATGTCCTTGGCCTTCCTTCTCAATATAGATACTGTTCCTAATGGACTACTACATACAGACCAAAGTGGTAATGCTTTCAAGAGTTGTAACTCCTTGGTGGGTTAAGTAATTTGGTAAATATCACCTTCCTTAGGTCTCTGCTATAATTCAGAAGTCAGACACCAAATGTTCATGAATATTAATGAACCAAAGCAGATTGTGTTTTTGGTTTGTACTCTTGGTAGAGAGGTCAGATTTTCCCTTTTACATTCAATTTTCTTCCACCAAGATTAGAGTTTAAATTTATGTGAAACTTACAGATCAAAGGCAGACAAAGAAATACAAAATTGAAAGTAGTAAAAGTTTCCATCTTTATTTTCTAGTATGCTTCATTAAGAAAGGGTTTTTTTTGTTTCCTTTATTTTGTAATAAATCATTAATGAACCCAAAGACAGAGTGGCAAGTTATAACAGATCTGAATTTACATTTTAGAAACATCCACCAAACATTTAAATAGGAAATAAATATATTTACATTTTGTCTTTCTATTTCACTACATTGTAATATGTATAAAATATATAACATTTCTATTATTTATTATCATTAAAGTCAAGGTATAACGTAAAGTGACATGAGTTTAGGGTATTAAAGGGTCAGAACAAAATACAACCAGAAATTCTAGAGATGTGGATGAAGAGAGTCCTTAAGTTCCTGAGCACAGCAATACCAACAGGAACAAAATATTTACCATTGAGTGTGGACACAGACACTTACCTTACAGAGAGGAGTTTAAGCTTGTCCTTGCACTGCTAGAGCTTCTCCACACTTCGGGATAGAAACAGTAAAGTGAAGTGATTGCTATGAATCACTGTCCCTCAGCGATAAAGCAAGCATCACTTAAGCCCAGCATTCGTCATGGAATATACTATGAACAATCATTGTGACCTAAGCAAAGGATATGTGGCTTCATCAGCTCATGTATCCAGGAGAAAACCGCACTGTCTATATGAAGTACTTTCTCTGTTTGCCAATACTGACTTGGTATTCATTGTCTTTCTTCTTGTTGGATGACTTTTATAAGCAAAGACTTTATAGAAGGTCGTTCATGCCTGAAACGTGTGAGACTGTAGTAGCTCATCCTGCTCCTTAAAAGTAAGATTGCATGGGAAGCATTGGAGTATTTATTATTTTTAAATCATCGATTGAGGTGTTTTTGAAGTTGCGCTATAACAGATTCAAATGCCCCTGCTTTGATATATTTCAGTCCTGATCGTTTGCTATTTTAATCACATAAAAGGCATTCTCAATAGTTGTCAAGTGGTTTTAAACTCCTGTCTCTAACTCCATAACTACATTGCCCTTTAAATTTACACTGTATACACTGTAATAAGCCCTTGAATTTGTCCCCATACACATGCATGTGCATACACATCCACCAAGGCACTGGAGGGGGGTGAAATAATCATGAAGCATTCTCATATGTGCTTAATACTCAAACTTGCAAATTTTGAAAGAAAAATCTCCTATATTTGAACCTACCTAAGTTACGGAGAAATTGAAATCTGTGTTTCAATTCATTTCTAAACTTTCTCACTGAAGTAGCCCAAGAAGCAACAGCAAATAACAGTGTTTAATAGCACTATAAAGAAAGCATCAAACACTACCTGTTAAACTGATGAAAATCAGAACAGTATTTTCCTAACTGCTGCTTGCGCCACTAATCGTGTTAAACAGCCATTTCAGCAGGAAGATATGTTGATCAATATTATAAATAGTAACAATACTAAGGTTGTTTTAATATGTTTTGTTTCAAGCAACACTTTATAGCTGAATTCAAATTATGCTATCTATGTATGTGGAAAATTTTATTTCAATATAATTAAGGTCAACAATTTATACTTGTCTCTATACATGTACTTACGTATCTGTAAGTACACTAGCTCTATACTCAAAGATCTCATCTCATACTTTTGCTGTTTTCACAAGACTATTTGAGATAACAACAATAAAAGCATACTTTGTTTCTGTATGTTTAAAGACAGCCTTGTGAAATCTACATTATTTTATGTGTTGTTTCACCTGCACCACATGCATCCCCAGTGCTGCTGAGTATAGAAAAGGGCATCGGAACCCCTGCTGTAGTTACAAATCACTGAGTGAGTGCTCGAAGCAAGTCTGCAGGAGCAATAATAACCCTTAAAACTCAGTCATCTCTCCAGCCCCATGAAATTATCTTACATGATTGCAGAAGAATTCTGCATTGTTTAAAACCCCAGATTATTTCCTTTTTTAGTTTTAGAAGAATGTGGCATTTCACAAGCCCTACCGACCCGGTCACCCACCATGCCACCCACCACGTGGCTGCACCGTGCTCAGTAGCAGAGGCTTCAGAAGAGATAGTCAAATGTGGCCATATTCACTCCTTCTACTTTATGTTAGACAGTCAGAATTCTGATATTGGTGGTATCCAAAATTTGCCATAGTTTTTGTGTCTGGTTGATATAGTAAGCAACAATTTCAATATTACTATTGTAGGGATACATTGAATTTCTTTTAGAGTTTGTAAACCTTTATTATTAATTTTTTTTGCTCTTTTGGAAAGATATTTTAGTTCCCATCTTACATTTTTCAGTTCTCATTATGAGATTTCACTTAACCTGACTCAAGATGAATTAATATTTCTAATGATCATGAAAATGGCTTACTATTTGTTGACTTTACTTTCATGGATTTGTGTTCCTCCTCACAAATTATTTTATTTTCCTCTTAAGTCTATATGAGATTTTCTTCTACTATGGGAAACAATAGTGAGCTGCCTGTTAGAAAACTGGCCATTTAAAAAGGGCTAAAACAATTATCAACTGAAATGTGTACAAGCAAAAACGGGCTTCCTTCTTACTTTTCAATAAGTACCCAGTTGTTTAAAAGCAGACATCTACAGAGCCTTAGATGAGGGCCAGAGAAAGCTTCCTGCTTTGTGTAACTAGCAAGACCCCATTGTCAGCTGTGAGTACATTCTCCATATTGCCTATTTCTGTCTTTTCACCTTCCTAACGCTAACACAAGCTAGCTACAGCAGTCTTAATCTACTATAACTACTTAATCATACTCCATGGCATTCTAGGACATGTATTTTGAGAATTGTTTACAAATCATATTTAATTTACTCATAAATATACTCAAATGAAATTATCACCTCTGTGGCTACTTTTCAGGAACTTTTCGATTTATGACCAAACAGAAAAGGGTTACAAAGTCCTATTTCTTACACAGAATTTGTTGACATAATTTTCTCTGTAAGAATTTTGGGTCATATCAATTTATTAAAGTTTAGTTTGTGCATAAATATCATTAGGCAAAAAAGTATAATTGTGTCTACATGAAGAACAGGAAAATCATGAGTGTTTTAGCCATTCAGGACTAATGCCATTTTTAATATAAAACATTTTTGTAGCATTCACCCAAGAAGGAATGTTTCATTCCTTAGTGTGTGTCACAGGCCAATGTAATTATCTTTATTTATTCTTCAGAAGATTTAAAATCTGGTAAACACAACTGGATTGCTCATGTGGAAACATAAGGTAGGAATATAGGAAGAAACTCATGTGGGTGGGTTAAGGTACTTCTATTCTTGAGGTTTTAATGTTTTTTTTATTATTATTGCATGCTGCTTGCCTTGCTTTACTTTTTAACTTATTTACACTCATAATACAATGATAGGGCATTGGTTCGTGATCTGGCCCACTATGCATCTGTCATACAAAATAATCTAAAATAGAGAAATAGCCATTTAATTGGTATTTTTATTTATAGGTAGCTTACAATTTTTGTGTTATTTACATACTTTACACCATCACTCATCACCATACACGGTGACGGCTGTGTCCTGATAAAGATCCGAGGAGAGAGAATAGGCTGCTCTGCCCATTCCTGGTTATTTGTGGATACCTGCCAGGGTAAGGTCCACTGCAGATACCTCCCTACATTTTTCCTGCTGGAGTTGCAGTCCGACTCCACTGTTGACATGGTGACAGCATGGTCTCTGCGGGACAAAGACGAGGAGTGACAGTGGGGGCTGCTAGGCAGAACTCAGGATGTCAAGCCACGTGCTTTGCTTTGCTTGTAGAAGCAGAGGTGGCAGTAGCAGCAGCAGCAGCCTGATTGCCTAAAAACAGAGGGTCCAAACAAGCCACTTTGGCAGCAAAAAATGAGTGAATACAGTGAAGAACAGCAAATAAATTCGAAAATTCCAGCTCCTGGAAGGAAAAGAGAAATAAGTAAACCAGGGGAAAATTTTATTTTTCACAAAGTTGTCAATAAGCCGTCATTTTTGTGTGTAACAGACATCTGGAATCCAGGATACGTAATATATGAAAATACAGTACTCTCATAGACATGTTATAATGCCAAGAAAATTGAAGGCAGATTAAGAAATTTATAAGCTTAGTGAAACTGATATACAGATTATTTATGATTGCAAGGAGAGGAATTCATATGTAGTAAACATCTGAGATTAATGAGGCATGTTTTTTGTTATTTAGTTTGACATTTGTGATGGAAGATGGAGAAATTAGAACAGATTATAATACATCAGAGAACTCCTAAAGAAAATTCACAGGCCTACTGTGTTTTCTTGGGGTTTGCAATAGGAACACAATAGCCTTCATTGTCTCGACAGTTGTTTTTTACCTTTTCATAATTCAGAGTCAGATTAGTATAGTTCATTTTCTGAAAGTGGTAAAATACATTCACTTATTGTATTTCGCAAAAATTTCCACTTACAAAGTGTTTTTTAAATTCTGTCATTATTATCTTATTATTTTATTCAAATTAAAAAATTAATTAAGATATTATATCATTTCCTCTTCCTCCTTCTCTCCTCTGTGAAATATTTACCATATCCTCTCCTCCTATTCTCTCCATCCCAACTACCCTATTACATCCACCCCTCTTAAATCTGCGGTCTCATATTCTCTAATTTTATACATATATACTTATACATAATATAATATATTATACCATAATATTATGACATAGTATATATATAATATGTATAGATAGTATATATAGATTTATACAAGTCTGTATGTGTCCTTCTGAGTTCATGTAGATAAAAATTTTGAATGCCATTGAACACAAATATTAAAGCAATGTTTCTTAAAAATTATTCCTATTAAGTTGAATGTCATAGCTTGTTTATCGGTCTCTCCAATTATCTAAATATCTGGGCATTTTAAGTAAGATCTAGGGTTTTAATTATTCTACCCATCTTGTTCATTATTTTCCAATAATTAGATGCTGATCAAGACCTTACAGTTTTGTATCTTTACCAATTTAATGCTTGCAATGTATGATAGGAAGAAACAGATACTGAGAAGAGACTGTAGGAGACTGATGAATCTGGGTTTGACATTAATTCAACATCACCTCCTCCATCCCATGATCTACTCTTACAGCCATAGCCATCCTCGGGCCTCCTTGTTCACACCTGGATGATTCACAGAAGATAGTCTTTCCTTTCCATCCAATTTTCATTTTACTGAGACTTTCAAATATCCACAAGCTTTGCATGCTGTTTCCTTACAACAGGGCTTTCCTGACATTTTTTTTCTTCCATGAGCCGTACTAAGCAAAATATAGCTTCAAAATTTGAGTATCTGGTCATTCAATAAATATTCATTACAATCTTCACTTTCTTTTGAAAAAAGGTGCATCAGAAAGAAAGACAAGAAGAGTCTGATGGTACGTCAGAGAAATCAAGGGTTGGTAGAGTGCATTTAAGAGATTGTAAGTTAGCCAATTCACATTTCCTTTTGGGGTATAACTGGAAGGGATACCAGGGTGAACCATTGTAACGTTTATTGGAAAGTATCTCAGACAGAAGTAATATAGTCCAATAGACAATCATATAAAGGCATTCTAGGAAGATTTTAGACATGGAACATAGAACTTAGAGACTTTATGACAAGAAGATTAAGTCAGAGAGACAAAAGAGTCAGCATGAATAAATACCTCAGCTATGCTCTTCAGATTGTTATGGTTTTTACAGTAAAAACATTGAAAGACGATGCTAAACCAAGACGTAATAATGGTAAGAACTGATACAGTTACTAAAATGATCACCTGGCTACTATATTTAGGACGAACTCTTAAGGTTTGAAACGGGTGAGAAACTGGAAAGTTTTTCATTAAGAAAAGGTACAAGCTTTGAAAGTAAAGTTGTACAAGTGAGAGAAGTTCTTATTCTAGATGCTGAGACATTTTATGAGGAACAGTTCTAGCACAAAGATGAAATTGTTTCATTACATTTGCAATTACATTGGATATACAAGGCAGAAGTCATAAAATACGTGTACATTTTTTAAAAATGAAAAGTTTGTATATATCAACTTGTGTGTGATAGATAAGTTTTTTTTCTAGGTGAGCTCAAGGTACATATAGTATGTAGAAGAAAAAAATATGCCCTCATCCCTAGAATCCAGAAATACATAGAAATAATAAATAGAACAATTAAGGAACAGCAATCCTGCTTGAGTGGGAGAGAAATCAGACTACCTTGTGTATTCTGATTTAAATCAGGTGCTTTAAATGGGTCATTTTGTTTAACCACATGAATATCATCTTCTTACTATGAAAAAAGATATTTTTTGTAAAAAAAATTGAAAAGTTTTTTACGAACTTGTAAGTGACCTAGAAAGATAGACGAGCACACGTTAAATATAATCTTCTCTTTAGTAAAGAGAGTGGAGAAATAAACCAAAAAACCAAATCAAAAATGGTTGTTGCTCGCTGTTCCTACAGATTTAAACCATCATTCCCATTCGTAACATTGCAATTGATCATCATTTGCAGCGTCCCTTCGTCCATACCCACATCTCCTGTGGATCCCATATCATCCCTACCTAGTCTCCCTCCCAACACTTCTCACTATAGCCTAGCCTCAAACTCAAGCAAGAACCTCCTGTTCAACTCTAACTAGAAACCAGAAAACCAAATAGACTGCCTGCAAACCTTCTCTTCTCTCTTTATACTCATAGAACCAATGCCTCAGTCAATTCTACAGATGCTGCAAGGGAACACCAGTTAACCTCCCTCCTACCCTGCCAAGTCTCCTAGGCCCACAGATATCCCCTTCTAACCTTCTTTCCCTAATTCTTTGTTAAAGCCCAGCCTCCAGTACCAGGAGGCACTCACTATGAACATAACAGCTTAGCAGGCCAATAAAACAGGTACCACACAGCCCCCACACTCTCCAAAAATTCATGGATAAAACAGAAAATGAAGCCAAAAAATCCATCCAAACAAGATAAACCCAGAAATCAGTACCTAGATTTATAATCCTCCCAAACACAGATGTCTAGATGCCAGCATAAGAACAAAATCACTAAGTGTCAGGGCAGTATGCCTCTACTAATTCCAGCAACGCTACCATAGCAAGTGGAGGCACAAGGGGAAAAAAGCACAAAAGCAACTATATGAAGATGATAGAGCTCCTTAAAATATGAAAAAAATCACTTATAGAAATTTCAGGAAAACACAAACAAATATTTGGAGGAAATGAGAAAATCCCTTAAAGAAATCTAGGAATAGACAAGCTGCTAGATGAAATGAATAAAGTCCTTTAAGAAAGCCAAAAAAAATACACAAAGACAAAGGAAATGGATAAAACTCTTCAAGACTTGAAAATGGAAATAGAAGCAATAAAGAAAACAAACTGAGCAAGTTCTGGAAATGAAAATTTTAGTAGTGTTCAGATGGAAATCTACAACAAAGAACCCCAACAAAGAAAAGGTACCAAAAGCCCAGTTCTGCACTATGGCTGCAGCTGGTACTCCTCCAAAGAAGTTACAAACAAAGTTCCTGCCTAAAAGTGTACCATACTTGTGTACAAACCCAGTTTTGGAGAACACATTGTCATCACCTGTCAACTAAAAGGTATTTAAACTTCCCATTAAAGTTTCGGAACATAATTTCTGTGTCTTCTCTGGGGACTAGAGAATTCATCCAGGAACTGCCTTACTCAAAATAAACATGTCCTTTTGCTTTTTCAAATTGGCTTGATCTGTCTTACTGTTTTGGCAGAGAAACCTACTATCAGGGTACATGAAACCTATTAAATAGAACAGAAACAACAGAGGCAAGCTTTTCCAACACAATACAAGAGATGCAAGAAAGAATTTCAGGCTCTGGGGATATGATGAAAAAAATGGATACAGTGGTTTAAGAAAATGTTAATTTTATAATTTTCTGACACTAAACATCAAGGATATCTGTGATACTATAATAACACCAAACCCAAGAATAATAGAAATATAGAAAGGAGAAGAATCCCTGCTCAAAGGCCCAGAGAATACTTTCAACAAAATCATAGAAAAGAATTTCAAACCTAAAGAAAATACTTATTAAGAAAGGTACAAGGTTACAGAATATCAAATAGATTGTACCAGGAAACAAAATCCCCATGCCACATAATAATCAAACAATAAGCTTACAGAGCAAAGAAAAAATATTAAAACCTACCATGGAAAAAGAGAAAGTGACAAATAAAGTAGATCTATTAAGATAATACCTGACTTCTCAAGGAGACTCTGAAAAACAAAAGAAGTGGTTTGATGTACAACAGACTCTAAGAGGCCACAGACGCCAGTCCAGACTATTAGATCCAGCAAAACATCCTAATACTATAGAAAAAATAAGAAATTCTGTAATAAAGTCAAATTTAAATGATATCTATCTAGTAATCCAGCCCTTCAAAGTGTGCTATAAAGAAAATCCTAACTAGGATTTCCTACATGAGTGTAGGAAGTTAACTACACTCATGAAAACTCAGAAATTAAGGGATATTACATCAACAAACCAAAAAAGGAAGAACACACACACACTACCACTACTGTTACCATTAATACCAACAAAATGACCAGAAGGAATAACCATTTGTCACTGATATCTCTTAATATCAATGATCAATAATCTCAATTCCTCAAAATAATAAAATAAATAAAAAGACACAGATTAATTGAATGGATGGGAAAATAGGATCTACCCTTCTGCTGAATCTAAGAAACATTCCCCAACATCAAGAAACAATGAGTAGGGCAGGCAGATGGGGATCTTGTTTCCTATCTTTGTCTTCATAAATTTACTGTAAATTTCAAAGGACTTAGTAGAGGGAAATGTGACTCGATATATGGAAAGAACTAACGTAATTTTTTAGAACAATAGTGTGACTCATGAAATAAGTTACTTATCATTAAGAATATACATATCAGAGGTGGAAATGTATAGTGCAATGTGAGAAATATATCCTGAAATTGCATCAATATACAAAATATCTTAAGTAGAGGTAGATACATGCATGCACACAATATGATAAATAAATTTGTATAGATATGCAACTCTTGTAAACAGAAATAGGAGCATATTCAGTATAATAATATAATTTGAATTTGTATCAATATACAAGAATCTATTCCAATGTAAATTGTCTATAACTAATAGTTCACAAATAGATATACTGATCTATCAATTAACCCATCCCATCCTTTCCCCTTTTTTTTCAGAAGAACCCTGAGTCACTTCATTTCTGCCCCAACCCTGTACCACTTATAACCAACCCTAACAGATGACAATTGTCCCTAACCTTAAGGACAAACTTGATTGGGAGTGGAGACATCGTTTTCTAGAATTATTTCCAGCGTCATGAGGACAATATACATATAAAATTGTTTAAACTTTCCATGACCTAACAACAGCACTATCATATTCCAGTTGACTATAACTTAGGTAAAACTATGTGGAAAGTCATTGACTAATTCATCTTCTTTAAATTATAACTAATTAGCAGTTATTCCATATTTGCTTAAAACCATATTCTTTGAAAATTTATACTCCTATTTAAGGTTTGGTAGATTACTACGAAGCAGCTAAATTACCAAGGTATTTTTTTAAAATTAAGAAACTGCTGTATGGCCCCTTCAGGTCTTGGCATGTTGTTTTAGTCTTATGTAATTGTAGTTCATACCAAATTAAAACTAAGACCCAGAATCAGTTGGGCATAATTTATCTAGAGCATTATCTTTCAGTGAAAATCTGTTACTAAAGCCTTAAAGTAAAAGTACTCTAGAGTCAAGGTAGATATTTCAAGGTAGGTGGAAAACATTTTTGTTTATTTATCCTACACATTCTCCTCGTTGCATCTTCAAGGCACTGATGTATTTGGAAATGTATTGTGTGATGGATCTTTTGTGTTTACCTTTGCTTCAATTTGTTTAGTGTCTGAATTCTGAAACAAAAATTTTATTTTGCTTTTGCCGTCATCTGATGAGCCTTTAAGCTGAGAGAATTTATACCTCCAAAGTATGGCCTAAAAGGAAAGAGAAATGGAAACAAGTAAGTCAACAAAGTTTATGCCTGCATTTAAGCCAAAAGTTATGTATGTTAAACATAAAAGTTAATCTTATGTAGTAATATACCCCAATATTAATATATAGATTTAAATTCATTCTTTAAAGGTTATCTTTTAATATTCAGTCTATCATTTAACATATATATCAGGTGTCAACAAAGTTTTTCAAAGACATAACTTAAGTAAATTCTTCAGTGAGATAGTACTATTATTTTCCGAGTAAAGTGAAAAATGTCTGCAGTAGAAATTCTGACCTCTATGGTTATCTAACATTAGTCCTGAAAAAAATAAGATTAGGATAATTTCAAGTGTACACATAAGAGTCTATAACAATGAGTAGGAAAATATTTGTGTCTCACCAAGGTATATATGTAAATATGAACAGTATGTCATCAATATTGTTTATTTAGTTTACTTGTATTGAAAAACTAATCCACTGTGGAGTAAGGGGAGCACTCCTGCATTGCTGGTGGGAGTGCAAACTTGAGAAACCACTAAGGAAATCAGTATGTACAGCTTTTCAGAAAGATGGAAATTAGTCTACCTCAGGATCCTGCTACACCACTCTTGGGCATATACTCAAAGGATATGTCATTATACAACAAGGGCATATGCGCCATCATTTTTATTGCTGCTCTATTCATAGTAACCAGAAATTATAAACAACCTAGATGTTCCGCAACAGAAGAATGGATAAAGAAAATGTGGTAAATCGACTCAATAGAGTATTACTCAGCTCTTTAAAAACATGACACCATGATATTCATGGCAAATGAATGGAATTAGGAAAAATCAGCTTTAGTGAGGTAACCCAGACTCAGAAATACAAATATGGCATGTCTTCACTTACACACAAATATTATCTATTAAATAAATTATAACAAAGTTACAATCTGTAGATACAAAGAGGTTAGACATACAGGAAGGAAATGGGAGAAGTGGATATATATCTCCCTGGGAGGATAAAATACAATAAAATTTATGGGAGAATTCGGGCTGGGGTAGGACATAAATGAAAGGATCAGGTGGAGTGTGGGAGGGTAGATGGGGCTGAATAAGAAAATATGAATGGACAGAGATAGACATGAGAGCCAGTTAGAGGAGCAGTAGGGAAATGTAGTTCAGTTAAAACTTCCTGAAATGTATAAAAGTGATCCTAATAAAGTTTCTAAATAACAAGTATGACAGACTCCCAACTGTCCATCTCTTGTCACTAAACAAACCTTCTAGGACTGGGACTGTGATGCATCCAATGGAGTTGTTGGCCAAGAGGCCTCATGGAAATCTCCAAACAACAGTTGCTCTATACAAACTGACTGCAAGGTTCCATTGCTGAAGATCACACCCACACAACTAATTGAACATAGAGAAGGAGAACTGTTCCTACATAGAACATTCACTCATATGTTCTTTTTTTCCCCAAAGTTTATTAAATTATAAAAGTTTCCATTTCTGCCCCTCCTCCCAACACCCTCCCACTCCCCCCACTCCCTCTCCTCCTCCCTCTCCATCCCTAAGAGCAGTCAGGGTTTCCTGTGTTCTTTCTTCCTTGGTAGGGAAATGAAAGGAGTGCGTGGGCCAAAGGGGTTGGAGGGCAACAGGAGAATAAGACCCTCTAAATCAACTGAGCAAAGCTCGTATAAATGCACAGAAACTGAAGAAGCAAGCACAGGGTCTACATAGGTCTTTACCAAATCCTTTGTGTATACATTATACTTTACAGTTTAGTGCTTTTATGGGATTCCTGAATGTATGAATAAGAGGCTCTCTGATTTCGATACCTTCTCTTGTGAATTTTTTACTTCTACTGGTTTTCCTTATCCAACTTCAATGTGATGATTTTCCTTTTATATTGTTTTATTTTATTTTGTTAAAAGTCATGAAAAACGCTTGTTATTTATTAAATATGAAAAAAAAGAAATGGACAATTCCTAAAATGAAGCATCAATTGATTGTTTGCAATCACTGAGACAACATTGAATGTGAACAATTTCCTGGCATGCACAGATTTAATACCTCAGATTTTCTTACTACAAGGTCAGTTAGATTTTCTGTGAGAGGAATTAGATAAAATGTCTTCCACTCATCAGTATTGTCCATGATGGCTTGAGTAAAAAATGCTTTTGGTGGTCCTGCCCTGTTAGTATTAGTAATAATTATGCGGCTACTAATAATTGCCAAATTTATATATAGTTTGGTACCAAATCTAATTAAAAATTTGAATTATATATATTCACATTTTGAATTAGATATGTGCATATCTAGATATGTATATATACATATTAACATATATATACATATATTATAGGTTGTTCTATACATATGACATACATGAAGAGAATGCCCTGCCATATCCACATTATTTCTGTGAGGAAGGCAAAGGCCTGAGAGGAGTATTCTTGTCTCTTTCACGTGATCAAGGATTATAAAACATAACACCAAATGTATTCCCTTACTGTACTTACATTTTCTTATACTATCTATAAACACCATCTTATGTTTTGCCTGTTTTAGTAATAAAAATGGGAGTGTTTGTTAGCACTGCTCCTTATACAATTGAATTTATGCAATTTTAACATAAAATTACGTATTAAAAACATTATTTACTTATCCTTTGGGTCAGACTTCTCTTTGCCTCAAATAAAAACTGCTTTTGTGAATTTAAGAAAAAAAAACAAGCAAAAGATAGAGATCCCAGTAGAATGCACAGGATTCAAAGACTCACTTTTTCATATACCCAGGACCTTCACAAAAATACTAAACTGTAGAGGAACAGGTATAGACCCATTGCAGGCACTGTGTATGTTGCCTTGGTCTTTGGGTGTTCATATGAATGATAGGGGAGTTCAGCCAATCACATTCTGTTTTTGGGGCGTGCCGCCCTCAGGCTAAAGCCTGCCTGTAAACCTAACAAGTGCACTCCGCTAGCCCCTTTTTTCGCCTGGCTCCTGTGTCCGGACGAATCATTTGGATTCTGGTGTAAGCTGTTGTAACTCTTACTTCTGTTTATTAAAGCTGTATATTTTGTATTAAGATAGTCTGGGGATTTTTCATTACCAATTGCCCTGCGGCATCATATGAACTTTGATTGTTGTTAGATGTTCTTCTTCCTCACACCAGTTCCCAAATAATCACACAGAGGCTTAGTATCTTAAATTCACAAAAGCAGTTTTTATTTGAGGCAAAGGGAAGCCTGACCCAAAGGATCACAGTTCTAAGCACTCAAAACTTAACTGTTAGTGGCACTACTTGGACTATAAATTTTGCTTCTCTTTGGTTGGAAAGGGTTCTTGTGTTAAATGTTTTCCAGATGGGTAGAAAGACCAAAAAGGCTGAAGAAAACCCCTCAGCTATTGATAATGCTCTCCAGAGCCTATGTCAAACCAACAGACCCTCATTGCCTGATCTGCACGGTTTCACCAAGTGCGCTGGGACACGTGCCACACTACATCTGCAAAAACAGATGAAGCAGGAAGATCATGTGTAAATCGTTTTGGGGAGAGCAGGTATCCGCAGCTTCAGACTTCGGCATGGAGTTGTCAGTCAGGGTGTGTAATGTGCAGTAGTCATGGTCAGCCATCTTATATTTAAGTTTTGTACCTAAACCGTGCCAAAAAATAAAAGTGCAAACTACAAATATCCTATATTTAGATGACAGTAAAATCCTCTCATTTCTTTCCTTACATGATATTCTTTTCATCCATATATTTTTTTTCTTTATGAAGTAATTTTGTGCCTTTGAACCATGCTTTAGTCTTTAGGAAGAAATTCAAGCTGATAATTTTATACTCGTGTTTTAGAGGTGAACAGATGACATGCAATCATAAAAGGATATGGAATTCTGAATGGTGGTGAGTGGAGGAACCCACATGTGACTCAGCTTCCATCTGGAGTCATTTCTGACGTAAAGAAGTCTTTTGGGTTCAAGTTTGCCTGCTCTGCTTCATCCAGTATATTTGAGGACTGTGATAGCCCATAGAATGAGCACTTTTGCCCAGTGGAAAGAGCACACTTTTCTATTAAGATTTGAACTGGTGTATGCCAGCTAGAGGCACTCCTCGTTAGAGATTAGAAGCTACTTAGCTCAATAGAATAATGCTCCTGCTTCAGCTTCCTCCCAAGGACAGTGCTCTGAGGTGGTTAGCTGACTGTACTGCTCTTTATTCTGTCTTTCGACTGTAGTATATATGCTGGCTGAGCTATGAAACTTAGGGAAGAGCAGAAAATTATTTAAAATGCAAGCAAGTGTCAGAAAGGCTGTTAGTCTAACAAAAGCACAGGCTTTAAGCTAGAATGGAACCTCTCTGCATTGGACAGAGTGATGCTGTAACACTGAGTCATGCAGACAATGGGACAGAGAGAAGTACTTGTGCCTGGATGACCTTTGCTTCCATGACTCTATACTTTGGTTGGTTGTGCTTTTCTGTATTGGTTTCCATTTGTTGCATGAAGTTACCTCAATTCAGGATGAGGACAGCACTTATCATGATAGACTCTGGAGAGGAATGGTCAGCATCTGGCTGAATGGAGAGGCTAGATATGGCCTTACGGCCAAATCTCATGGAGGCATTTTATCAATTGCAGTTCTCAGATAATACTAGCTTGTGTGATATTAACAAAAATTTAAAGCAAAAAACAACAACTAGGTTAGTATGTTATTTGTTACTAAGTTTATTTTCTTAAAAATTGCATGTGTCTAAATAATTAAGAGACAGCAAAACTTGTGCTTAATTGGCAGGAGTTTTGAATTATATGGGTGACAGTGTTGGTTTCTAAAGATACACCAAATACTAGATACTGGGTAATTTACAAGTAACAGCACTTTTTATAGTTATATTGACTTAGAAGCCAAATATCAACAGGATCATAACAGATATAGTTCATGATGAAAGCTCACAGTGTTTAGGTACTTTGTCCTGAATTGAAGTGCTGCCCATGGAAAGAGAAGAGAGGCTCTCAAGACTGAGGGAACCAATAAAATTAACAGAGCTTGGGTAATAAAAGAAAATCTCTGAAGCTCAGAGCATTTAAAGATTCACAAAGCTTTTCAACAAGGCTGTAAAAGCAGAAAGCAACTGCTAGAGAATTATGGGTTACAGCATCACTCTGCCCAATGTAGAGGTTCCACTCTAGTGTACAATGTGTGCTTGTATTAGTTTTAATGCTAAAGGCCTTTTGGAGTTCTGCCATTGCTTGCAGTTTAAATAATTTTCTGTCCTGCCCTAGTTTTGATAGCTCAGGCTTATGCTATTTTAGAGGAGCAGTGTTCGGCATTCAGGGAGCACTAGACATGGTACTATGGGCTTTTTGATGACCACTGCTAGATACTAGGACTGTAAAATCGGATACAGTTCCCTTTTCAAAACCTAAAGTCTATTGTAGAGGACAGGGCTTGAATGAGTATTTCCACACTATGTAGAGGTAGCCCCAGGATCACGTAGACATAATTAGCTCCCTCTCTGCCTCATCTTCTGCTACACTGACACTTCAATTCTACTGTTACCAACTTGATAGCTCTCACCCACATATAAATTCCTGTAGCTGCAACTGATCACTTGTGCTTCGCTAAGACACTCCTTACACAAAGCCCAGTATGCTTGTCAAGCTAGATTAGAGTGGGATGGTGAATTAAGTCCACGTATTGGTGCTTATCATTCATTGAGCACGCATGTGTTCATTCCCTTCTTTCCACAGAATGAAGCACAATGACTCATACTTTACGTGCAAGATAGCATCTTCCTGCTGCCAGCTTATGTGATAAGAGGCAGAGGCAAAAGAAACAAGAGTATTTCCTGAAACTCCTCATAGGAGTGTCAATCCATTAGTGAGGGTAGGGTCTCATCAATTAGTCACTTATAACAAGTGCCTTAGAGAAATGAAGAGAGTAAGGTTCAGAGTAGCTTTCTCACATTCACAGGGCCTGCCAGAAGCATGTTTCAGAGGACAGGAGCAGCATAGTGTGGTCAGGGTAAATCAAAACAAGAAATAAGCACAAAGGAGTTAGCCATGATTTGGAGAAGAGTCAAGAGGCTTGGCTGTTAGATTCAGCCCCAAGATCACACTGTAGAAAGTGGCTGTGATGGTAAAATATGTGAGCTAATGGGAGAAAGCCTGGTCATTAAAGCCATGTTCACAAAGGATATGGCAGGACTCTTGCTCTTTTCTCTTCCTGGCCATGATATCCCCTACCACAGGCTCAGAACAAAAGAAGCATTGATTCATGGACTAAAATTGTGTACCAAAATCTCCTTTCCTCTCTCAAGCAATTCACAGGAACAGCATGTCTCCTAACACAGATTGCATGGCTAGAAGAAACAACATGTTTATGATTGAGACAACAGCCACTGAAATTTGGGCTTTAGAAATAATGTTTAAATGTTATAATTTCAGCAAAACATTATACGGTTGAAGTATAGCTCTTACTTATTCGTTTAATATGTGAAGTGTTCCAAGATGGGTTTTTAAATTATTTAAACAGTTGTACATAAATAAAATTAATAATTCCAATATAAACTAACTAAAATACATTAAAATACTTAATCAAGTATTCTTAATGAAAATCACATTAAAAAGAAAATGTATCAAAAGGTATAAGAAATGAAAAATTTTCAAATTTAAATGATAAAGATGTCAAGTACAAGAATTATGGAAAGTAGTTGTTATTGTTTAACAAAGATACTTTTGTTGTTTACCTGATGTTATCATTATGCACTTTGAATTATAAATATGGACACTAATAACTGAAATCTGGTACAATATGCACTACATCCTGACTGACCCAAAAGTTTCCTCCATGAAGAATAACTTTCCAAATACTAAAAGGTTCTATACAGGCTGGCAAGAGAAGAAAACTAGTATTCCCAGCTATGACAACTATGAACCCTGACAGTGACCAGCCTAAGAAGATATGCCTAAGGAGATAATAGTAACACTCATATCTTAGTGGTAATGCACAGCTATCTAGTTAAAACTAAGCCCAACTCAGCAGGAGGTAAATAATGTCTGGTACTAGAAAGCTAGTGCTTTCAATGCTAGTGAGGTCATGGACCCCAGATGAGAATATACGATTGCCCCTTTATTAAACCAATGTAATCCACAACTGAATTAAAAATACTTATCTTGGCACTCATGTGCCATGGGATAACGCTTTGGTATACTGTAAAGATTTGTCACTCATATTAGTTTAATTAAACATTGATTTGCTAGTAGCCAGGCAGGAAGTATAAGTGGGGCAACCAGACTAAGAGAATGCTGGGAAGAGGAAAGACAGTGATGCAGTCACAAGTCAGACAGAGAGGAAGCAAAATGAGAATGCCTCACTGAGAAAAAGTACCAAGCCCCATGGCTACGCATATATAAGAACTATGGGTTAATTTAAGTTGTAAGAGCTAGTTAATAATCAACCTGAGCATTAATAGGCCAAACAATTTATAATTAATAAGATCCTCTGTGTGTATCTTTGGGACTGAACAGTTGCCGGACCAGGCAGAACCAAAGCCTCTGTCTACACTCACAAATAAGTGAATCTCTCAGTCCTCATCTTTGAAACTTTTCTATTCACCAGGCAGAGACCATTACAGAAAGGCGCGACTGGTTAAAATGTTGAGAACGCCAACTGATACATATACAAGACAACTCTACACTCAGGAAACATCATGAAAGATGGAGAGCAAAGACCATAAGGGTCAGAGAATCAGTAATTTTGCTAAAAGTTTGTGTCTCTCATAAAGGACAGGGAAGCTATAATATAATCACCTCAACAAAATGGCTGCCTAAACAAGATCAGAGCACATTAATAAACAGGCTAAATGTGAAAAGGGAAAACCCCCAGGAGTTCTGCCCTAGACAGAGAGGTGGTACAGGCAAATAAGACTTCCCCAGAGATGAGTGCCCTAATTGGTTGTGCACTAATTGATTATCCAATAAAAGTAATTGACCCTGAAAGCAAAGCATACACAGAGAAAAACTAAATGGACTCAGCAGGGTGTGTGTGTGTGTGTGTGTAAAACAATAACAATGGTAAAGACATCATGAATTTGAGAGAAAATAGAGGGATAGAAGGGGGTGCACAGATGAGAGGAAGACTGTAAACAGTGTGATATTTTTAAAAATGTGGTCTAATAGATCAACAGTTATGAGCACTTTTTGCTCTTGCAAAGAACATGGGTTTGAGTCCCAGCACCTACACTACAGTCAACAATTGTCCATTACTCGAGTTCTAGGGTATCTAACAGTCTTTTTTTCTTCATGGGTACTGTGCACACAGAGTACATAGTGATGCATATAAGGAAAATGTTGAAACACACAAATATATAAAATTCTAAATTTCTCAAAATATAACTGCTGCAAAGAGAAATCACTCATAAATAAAAATGTTCTTCTGGGAATATGGAAAGTTTCCAAAGTGGATTTGGTGATGTTTGCAGCATTTTGTAACTGTACTTAATCTGTAGCATAGGAGTGAAGAATACCGTGTGTATATTTTATTTTAATAAGGCTGTTAATTTTCATAACAGCAGCAACAAGTAAATGATCAAATTTTTCAAATATTTCCTAGAGACTAACAAATGACTGAGAATAGACTGGTGCTATATTGACTCATATTAAGTAAACACAACATTTTCAATTTTAAAAAGACTATTTTCATTCAAATAAGTTTCATTTATTGCTATACATATTTATCAAATTATTTTAATACTCAGGTTGATTAATTAATCAGTAGATTAGTTATTTCACTAGATTAACACCCACAAGCTTATTTTTATTTGATAGTAGCCTTACTAAAAATATCAGAAGGGTACAGCTGGAAATTTTAATTACTGAGTATTCTTTAGGCATCCCACAGAGACCACAAATTACGTGACAGAATTTTATTCTTCTAGCATATAATACTGGATTTCCCTGTAAATGCTAAACTGCCACTAGCAGTCCTTAGATAGTGGGGTCTTTCTGTGACAATCACAGATGCTGGATCATGAACCATCGTAATTCTCTATGAATATGCTAGTGTCCGGCTCACATGACCAGTTCAGTACACCATTCGATCCACTTCATCCCTAAACAATCTATACTCTACTTTCCTCACCCATGGAAAATCTTGTGCACACATTAATTTGAGAGAAAATTAAGAACAGATTACTCATTAGTCCCTAAAACTACTGAGAGGGAATGCCTCAATTAATACCATCCTAGGCCATCTTTTGATAAAGGAGAGAGTAGCAAGACACGTTCCTGCAAATTGAAGGCCACTGAAGATGCTGTAGCATGAACAAGGATATTGGAACTAGAAGAGCTGGAAGCTCCTTCCAGCTGATAATAAAGAATGGAATACTTTAGTTTTTTTTACATAATCCAGCAGACTGACTATTCTTAAAGCTATGATTGTCCAGGAAAGTCCATTTTTTCCCTAAAGGGCATGAATTTTTTTGTGAAACACAAAACCCATCAGAATATTCAATATTCACATTAAGTCATGTGTTTAAAGCAGACACTCATTTGTAAGAATTTCCAAACACCCAAGCTGCACCATTCCATATGTAATTCTGAGACATTAACTATAAAAAAGTGTTCCTTATATTCATCATCTAGATTTAATTCAGAAAACTTGTGACAGATCTGACAGAACTCTTCAAAATAATATCTAAAGGAAAAAAAATTCTCAAAAGTATGGAGCTATGCTTTCAAAAGGAGAATAAATCTGTATCTACTATTAATCAATTGTTACCCATATTTCTATCATCTACCTTTAAACTGTCTATTGCCTATCATCTATCTTTCCTTTATTCATGTACTTTCCACAATCCACCTATATGTCTGTCTCTGTCTCTATAAAATCTATCAATCAATCATCTCTTTCGATGTTTAAATATATATCAGGACAGAGTGATACATATTTACTTTGGTATATTAATTAATTGCATTAATCATGCTATATTAAAATTCAAACTTTGTTTACGAAAAACACATTAAAATGTAAATTATGTTCCATGAATGAAAATGAGGATCTTAAATCCAAAATACAATTATTTCGAGTCCAGCCAAGACTTCAACGGCTTTTCACTCATTCTCACTTGACAATGTTGTCGCTCTAACTCTCCTGCCACGCGGAACATATTACCTTTGTGGCTGCGTCATAGCAGATGAAACCCGTGCTGAAGTCAATCGTGAGGCCCATTAGGTGACTCTCCAGCACACACGCATAGGTCTTGCACTGGGAAAAGCAGAGAATACTGTTAGCTTCCAGCTGATTGATACAGCATCGTTACCAAGGGGACTATAACTTCTCCATGCATGTAATTCTTAGCTTGTACATCAGTGAGGTTCAGTAAAATAATAAATTCAAATATGAATATGACCCTAGGTTTGATCCCCTGCATCATAATTTTACTTGTAAAATTTTGGAAACATGAGTAAATATAGAACTAAAATATTAAAAAGACATAACTCATATATGAGACAATTTGGGCCTCATATACAACGCAAAACAATTTTATAGCTAGTTTTCTAGTTTTTTTTTTAAATTTCACTTCAAGCTAAATGGTTCTATTGGGTGAACTACAATCATAACTAACAAGTGAGAGAACTATTTCCTTCAGCAATTTTCAGATGCTAATTCTTATATTGTATTTGTTTGTATTATATTTATATAATATATAATACCTATCACAAGTGCCTATAATTATGATTTAACATAAAAGTTATTTTTATTAGAATGTTATATACATATGATTAAAGCCTAATTTGCATTAAAAACTGAAAACTATGATAACTATTTATTTAGAGTTAAAATAGTAGATTAGAAGCCATACTTAATGTGTCAAAAAAGTACAAGCTTTGGTGTGATTGTTTAATACATGGGCTTCTTAAATAGCTGAATTCACTCATAAGTAATATATTAAAACTAAGCTTAACATTAAAGAGGGTTCAAGGCTACAGTGTTTACTTTTATATAGTCTTAATTATTTGCCATTTCTTTGTTCATCCAATTAAAAGGAAGTTTCCAGGTGAAATTGTATTTGTTATAGTGCAATAGAATTTTCTCATTAAGTTCAACATTCCAAACTAAATTATATTGCCTCAATAATTATTAAATGGAAATAAATAAATAGATAAGATAAATAAATAAGTTGATATCCAATAAAATCTCCCTGTATAACTTAAAATGTCAACAAATCTGAGTGTATTTAATACATTTATGTAATAAAATGCTTATTTATTGTTTAATTGTTACATTTATGTAATGAAAAGTTATTTTCTGTGAAAAAATTATTCTTTTGTGGAAGCTCCAAATTGAATCACTTTGCAATATGTTTGCATAATTATATATTGTATAGCACCTACAGGTAAAATATACATAAAATAAATATCTTAAAGAACCACTGGACATAAATTTTTACTACCAAATAAAAACACATTCAAATTAACCAAAAATAATTTTAAATAAGTGTAATTATTTTTGACATTAATATACTCTCCAAAACATATTTAAAGAAGTAATTGTTGAACTGGGTTAGTATATAGTTATGACAAATGTTAGTTATAGTTATAATAAATGTGTCCTTGACTGTCAAAATTCACTGATCCTAGTAAAATTATAAAGCCAGTAATCTTAGCCTAAATGAATTACATCTCACATTGTTTTTTAAGTTAGGAAATGTAACCTATTTTCCTAAGTTGTGGCTTTTATCTTTCAATATTCACTACATTTCCTAAGTTTAATTATAAATTTAAATGATAATGCAGATTGTATTCAAAGTGTGTACTTTTATGTATCATCCTTTCAAATAAACATGTTAGCATTTATACGAAGTTTATTACAGGTTCAAAATAAAATATGAATAAGTAAATAACTATATTTGAAGGTAGACATCATCATTTTGTAGTCTTTGTAATATTAATTTATTTCAAAATAAAAACACCTTTATATATCATTTTTAATAGCATTAATCAAGTTATTAGTTTTCCTTTTGGGCATTTTTCATTAGGTCTACTTTTTCTATTATTGTTTTTCACTATGCTGAGACAGGGTCCCATGTGGCACAGACTGGACTCAAATTACATTATACAGCTGAGGATGACACTCAACTTTATTGACCTTCCTTTACCTCCCAATTGCTGGGATTATAGGTAAGTATTTCCTGGTTCATATCTTCCATTTTTCCATATTTAACAAAACTGAGATAGTCATTCTATACATATTGAACAACATTCTTCCTGTTAATTTATTCACATTTGCAAATGAAATTTTATGAAAATGAAAAATCCAAGCCATTCAAATAAATGTACCCATTTCTAATATAGTAAACAAAGAGAAATAATGAAATATGAACAACCCAAAAGTTGAATAAATTCCAAATATTTTCCTTTGATTTCTGTCATCGTATGTGTTTAAAAAATAACTGTCCATGTATGTTTGTCTTTGATTTCTGAGTCTATTGCAGGGGCAGGAACCAATGTAACTTTGAATTTTGCTCTATCTTGTTCCAAGTCAACCATGAAACCAATTCTATGAGGTGTCTTGTTTCAGGATCTCATGTATTTGAGTAAGTTAAAGGACTTATCAAATCTGACCTAGATGTGACTTCATACTAAAGAACTACAATTCAGTAAGTACCCACTGGATACTTGTGATTTGAAAAATGTAGTAAACTTCAATCCATAGAGGAATAAAATAAGCAACCTCTGACAACAAATGTTTCCAATGTCATAATGTGAGCCATCTGAAGAAAACAGTAAAGAAAAGTGGTGTTTTTGCTACAGTGAGAAGAAGGGAGAGTCAGCAAAGTTGCTGTGAAAGGGGTATGGTAGGAAGCCTTAGAAATTATGAGGTTGCCCGCGCATGAAGTAACCATTGAAGAAAACTCCACATACTACGCTTTGCTTTAAAGACAGAGATGAAGGGAGGCATCTAGAAACTAGGCGGGCAACTCTACAGAATGGAAACAACCTCATCAATAGTGAACTACAATCAGAACATTTTTTTATATAAGATTCAAATTATAGTAATATTTATTAGGAAGTAGACTGCATAGACAAAATTATGTAAAAAGAACTTCAATAATATGGCTAATTATTCATTTTTTCAATAGCAGCTAAGCATTGGATACATTTGAGATGGGGGCAACCTCACAGAGCTGTGCTCATGTACTTTGTGAACTCAAGCGAGTGGTTAGCTCTCCCCAGGTACCACACACACAGGTTCTTACCTGTATCCGTTCGACTTCTAAGAAGGTGGCTGTTTGGAAGGCTCGCTCCCACTGGGCAAGGTCACTCTCTAACTCCACCGAGAAGTAGAAGTCCTCCCCACACTCAGACTGCATAGTAAAGCAATGTTTCCGCCGGTCCAGCAGGTCACTGTCCTGATGAAAACCTGGAGTTACACAGGCTGGCATACATCAATTCATACTCAGCACAGAAAACACCTACCAACGCTGCTTAAAACAGTGTGTCGATTCTATAAAACACGGGAAATTCTGTACTGTCATTAATCTCAGAATGCTCACTACAAACAAATTTCAAATTCCACACCTGTCACAATTTCCTTTTTAACTACTGATGCTCATCCACGAGAGACAACTCTAGTTTCCGGTTTTACTAACGAAAGAATACCTACTACAGTGCTCGACACACAACACCTCTCTCTGATTGCAAAACAGCCTGACATATAACCTTGCAAAGCTGTCTCGACATTGAGATGGACTAATGCTTACGATGATGTTGTAATCTTTCATAGGCATGAGAGAGTTTCACTGAAATGATTTTGCAAATCCTTTAAAAAGCATGAACTCATAGGAAATTAGGAAAACCTTGAACACAATTTGTCTACCCTCATTACACTGTACACTCCCCAAAGCCAACACTTTACCTATATGTGCAATTTTATTTCATTGTGTCAAAAGATTTTGCTCCTAGAAATTTCTTGGTGTGGTCCCAAGTTTTCCCTTAAGGCGTTTCCCTAATCCAACACATTTCAATTCCAAATTCAAGATATTTGTATATGAAAAAGTATAGGACAACAGGCTGTACTATTTTGATACACAATTTGAAATATTTATTCAGTGTACTAAAAAATGTTCAAGGGGCAAACGTTAACATTAAGTCTTTGATTGAGGACTGCACTCAAATGCATCATCACTGAGCAGTAGAAATGTATAAAATCTTTCACTTTATCAATAATTTCGAAAAGAATATCTATCTTTTTGCATCCCAATTTGATACTGGAAGAATAAAAGAAGTTACTTCCAGTACTGTAGAATTAACTTTAACACTTGATGAAAGCATTCAGTGAGCTAAGCAGATGACGTAGGCTCTGTCTAAAGGGAAATACTAAAGGCACAATGTGAGTGCAGCGCAAAGGTAAATAAATGGCCAGGTGCTTTTAGTGATTTGTAACAAGTATATTCAGGGAGTGTCTCAGTGACAGATATTGAATAAAAACAGCAATAAATAGGGTGGCAAGATTATTATGAATGCAAGTATAAAACTATGTATGGATTCATAAGAAACATGAATTGAACAGTGGCTTAAAATGAGATTCATATTTAACATAAAGTACAAGATTGTTCTTTTTGAGTTGTTAGTTGGGTGGTAGGGTCGCCAAATCTACCAAAACAATATAGTCTGTTTTCATTGTCCTTGCTTGACTCTGAGAACTTGAAGATAAGACCCTATTGCTGAAGACAACACACATTTTGGACACAGAACATACAGGAATCCAGTTTGAGCCAGGTAAATATATATATATATATACATATATATATGTATATATATATACATACATATGTATATATATACATACATACATATGTGGCCGTTTGATCCTTCTTTGAAAACACATTTTAAATAAAAAAAATCCTTATACATAAAACCATGTAAAACTGAAAAAATGGAATTGCAGTTCTTAGTGATTAATGCCTGGTGTGTGAGAATTATTCTCCAATATTCTTATATTTACTCCTTTTGTATAACTAGCTTTTACAAAGATGCTTATGTAAGCTTTATTTTATTTATTTATTTATTTTTGCCTACTTCTCTATGCGGATCTATGGTGGACTGTGGAAGACTGTGTGAGGGTCGCTCTGCAGGCCGCCAGGGCCCTGCACTAACTGAAGGTAATGGAACTATACGCGGTGCCGAGCCAGGAATCAAACCTGGGTCCTTGGGCGGAGCGGTTGGGCGCTCGGCCCCCTGAGCCATCTCTGCGGCTGGGTAAGCTTTATTTTTTTAATTATTCTATGGGGGTTTGCCTGAAGCATCCAGAAGATGAAATGGACTGGATCACTTGAAACTGATATTACAGTTAGTTGTGAACCACCATCTACTCCTGGGAATCAAACCTAAGTTTTTGGTAACTGCAATCAGTACACTTAACTGCTGAGTTATGTTTCCATCCTTGTGAACTCTTCCCTTTATATTTTTTTAGATGTTATCAAAAAGAAGTGGGCACCAGTTTATTTAAAAGATTCCTTTTCTAGTTTAAATATAATTATTGAGTCATCTCTCAGATTCTGCTACACAAAGTTCAATGAAGCATAGTATGGTAACTTTCTTCACATTTTCCTTTTGTAACATTTAATTATCTTAATATCTCACTTTCTTAACCACTCAACATGTTCTGAATCTTTCAAAGTCTTAAAAACATGACTGAGCAAAAAGTGCTCCTGTAGTGAATGCAGGTGACATTGAATATGTGGTGAATGTTGAATTCTCTAATTTTCACTGCTCTTCCTAAGTATTAGTACCATGTTTTGTGGGGAAGCATGCTGATCATTGTTGGACCTGCAATGTTAAGATGTTCTTATGAAATGGGTTTACTTACCACTATACATTTTGATAGAAAGGATGCTATGGAGTCAAATATTCACAGAGTGCTCATTGATACATCTTATAATATCTTTGGCTTGCTGCATAGTCCCTTTCTAAAGAAAGACTCTGGACTTTAGAGGGTGATTTACACCATTGTCTCCTTAGCTGCCCACTGTCTCACAGTTGTTGTTATGTATTTTAAACAAATTCATATACTTGTGGAAACACTTTCTGCTGGCAGTCAAGATTATATATACTCACTACCTCAGTAAGTGCTTTATTACTGGCCTATATAAATATTTATCATAGACATATAGTTGACAATTATAAAGAAGTCATTGAATGCCTGCTCCATATCACACACTGTCTTGGTGTGGCCATTTCCCACCTGGAAAGTTTGTGGTACTTCTATTTCTTGGGACTTTGGTTTGAGTAGAATAAGGCAAAGCATAACACCAACAGAATTTGAAAATGGTAGAGAGTGACAGAATTTCTTCAACGTTTTAAAGAGTGTTCACCTCAAAGCTCACTGCCGCTTCTACAGAATGAGGATGAACTCTGAGGAGATTCATGAAGAAAGACTAAAAGTTTTGAGATTTCAGGAGGTTAAGAGACAAGTTCCAGAGCAAACAGTAAGGCTGAAGGTTTTGTGGACTTTGAGAGGCTATACAACGTCCAATAACTTGCTATTTCCTTTCAAGTATTTCTGCTGTGTAAAAACAAATTATACATTAAGTACAAGCAGTTAAAAGATGCATAATTTAATGCTGTATAATTACTGAAAACATGAGCATAAGTGAAAGGAATATGTTGTAACTCACGTAATATTAGAAAATAGACAATGATCAAATGGTGTGAATTGCAGAACCATCACTTTTTCCTGAACTAAAACTTGCTCTTTTCTCAATTTGCATGTAAGTTCTATATTCATTTAAGTTTATGTTAATATTGAGTGTAAGTATATAACCTTTTGAATTGGTTCCTAGTGTTCCCTTTCTTTTCAAGCTGAATATTCTGTATTTTTCCTTGATCTTCTTGCTTTTTTCTATTGTATATCTGCATGCAATCTATGAACACATGACTCAGTCAGTATTAGGCTTTCCTGAAATCTCTGCCAACTCCATTAATAAAAAAAACTCTTCAATTTAGCTTTAGGCAGAATTTTTTGGTCAAGGGCAGAAAGTAGCCCATTCTTTGCCAAAATAGCACAACAGTCTCTTTGTTAGAAAGGAGTTTTTAAAGCCATTTACTAATAATCTTGCCCTTTGAAACCTCTTGAGGTTGACCCCTACAATACCGCATACTCAGCACTACTATCTCACATGCTTCTATAAGAATGGCCCAATAATCCCCATTTAAATCATTCAATTCAAATGCTATTCTACTCCAAAGTCTCAAAGTCTTCCAAATCTCCAAAGAACAGAATGGTCAGGGTTGTCCCTGTAATGACACACTCCTGGTACCAATTTTGTCTTCGTCTTGTATTGCTTTGAAGAGACAACATGAACAAGTTAATTATTTTAAAAATAAAGCATTTAATTGGAAGGTTGCTTATAGTTTTAGATACTTAGTCTTTCATCACCATGGTGACAAGCAGACAGGCATAGTGCTGGAGCAGCACCAAGCTGTACTTCCTGTTCCACAAGGAGAGAGGAGAGAGAGAGAGAGACTGGCCAAACAGGGGCTTTATGAAACTTCAAAGTACACCCTTGAGACATATCTTCTTCAAAAATAACACACCTCTTAACTCTTTCCAGCAGTCTACTAACTGGGTTCAAGTATAGGAGCCTATTAAGATTGTTCTTATTCCAACCACCATAAATTACCAATGCATTCCTCTGCCTCACAAAAACTTTAATTTCTTTGCTAAAGTTGATATACCCCTTTCAAATATATTACTTGTATCATATAGTACTTTTAAAATTCAAGGAGTTATTGTTATATATTTCCTTCTCTCATTTAGATGATTTATTTTGTCTTCCAAATGCTGAAAATGGGGGTAAAAAGATAGTAGACTTGACTTTTCAAACATACACACAGAATATATTAAATATTATCTGTTCTATGTCTTTAAGCATTAAATCTTTCATTGTTTATTCTAATTTTAAATACAAAGTGTTTCTCTCCATTTATCACCTTTTATATTCTCTATTTCTCCACCACCCAGCATTAGGAATAGAACTCAAGGCCTCTAGCATGCATCCATATATAAAAGATATAGACATAGAGACAGGCCAAGAAATATAGAGAAAGAATGAAATATGCAGATAGACATATAGAGAAAACATTTGCCTAGTTAAACGCAATACAAGGGTCAAGACAATGATGTCCCTCGCTCAGCCTCAATCACCTCTTTAGGATAAACACCTGCAGATGCTCCTACTGTCTTTTTTGATCTCTTCATGCAAAAGACCATTTTTTCTGCCTTTGATTACTAACTCTATTGAAACACGATGCTGGACAAAACATGGAGAATGCCTCAAATAGTTTCTGAAAAGATCAAGTCTAAAGATAGTAAGCATAAGTAATGTTCCAAAGGAAATATAGAAAATTT